TCGGAATAGGATGCTCTGGGGGTGGAGCCCAGCAATTTGTGGCTGAACAAGCCCTCCAGGTGATTCTGATGAATGAAGCATTGCACTAGGAGAGTCAACTAGGAGTTGGGATTTGGAACCACTGGTTTGAGGGAATTTTTGCTACAAATCCTTTATTAAAATAAATACTCTTGAAGTGAGGTCCCGTTGATGTTGCAATTTACTTTTAAATGATTTGACAAACAAAACAAGAAAACTATATATAGGTATGTGAAAAAGCAAATGTGGCACAAGGTATTATTATCATCCCTTATATCATTTATTAAAATGATACAACCTAGGTTCCAAAAGAGTTAAGTAACTAGCCCAGGGTAATCAGCCAGCAAGCAGTGGTAAAATCGGAACCTGAGCCTCCATGCCCTTTGCATATCACCACAGGCTGGAGTTTGATGCTTTTTTTTTCATGTTAGCTTGCCTGGTTCATCATTCCAGACATGTCGGAATGTGACTGTTGCATTCCACAGGCCCAGGAGCAAGCTTGAGAATGTGCCATTGACTCTCATTATTGTGAGTCTCACACATATTTCTTTTCTCTCCCTCCCTCCTTCCCCTCTTTCCCCACCCGCTTTATTATCATCATTCTTTTTATTAGACTCAGGGTCTGGGCATGTTTGTATGTCTTACTTTGGCTTCTAATTTAAACCAAGTGTTCTATGGTTTTAGTTGGGCATATGCAGGAGTATGCTTGATTTGGGTGGCTCAGACTTCTCTTGAGTTTTGAGACCAGTTTTTAACTAGACAAGAGTTGCAAATTTGCCGTTCGTGGCCTGAGATTTAGAATTGAGATTTCCATTCCAAAACAATGGAGACTTAATTAAATATTTCATGTTTCTTACATTCTATTACATTCCACAAAATGTGGTGATTAAAAGTTACTGTTCAATAAATTGTGTTTCCTCCTGTACCATTTCTTAAAAGTTTTGACCCAAATTAGATTTGGATGAATTCTTTAGGTTGTTGACTTTTTCTTTTCTTTTGATAGCAATAATTTATTCCTGTCTGATGATTAAAGCATCATATGTAAGAATTGTTTTGCTTTGGTTCCTTGACCTCTTAGAGTCTGCCTTTAATTTCTTCTGCCATTAATTGAACTCATGATGGCATTTTTAGATAATGTATAAAAGAGCATCAGGAGACAGAGCCAAAATCTTATTTGCTTTTATACAAACTAAATTGCCCTTGTGACCCAGCATAAAATCTAAGTGCTAAGAGCAGTTACTTATTTTGACAACAGAATTAATTGAGCCTAAAAGACTTGAAATTCCAGTTGTAGCAAACTATTCTTTTTGACTACCACTCTGGCTTTGGTACTGTCAAGAAAAGTAACCTGTCTTATGATTAAATAGCAGAATGGTGGGCAGTAGGCTGCATTTGAGGGAGATGCTGAATAAACTTTCTACTTGTGAAACAGTTCAGAAGTGACATGCTACATGGGGGGTTAGAATGTGCATTGATATCCAGCTGAGCTGTCAGCTGGCAGTGAGCCAGACACACAAAGCTCTGTCATGTGAAGCAGCATGTGGAGCACATGTCATTTGTAAAAAAAATCATTTTCATGCATGATTTAATGGTTTTTTTAAAAGAGTATATTTAGTTTTATTATACCAGAAAATGTTGGTATTTCAGTCTTTTATAGGAAAGCTTATGTGTGGATGATACTCTGTTAAAAATTTTTAATATATAGTTTATAATTTGAAAGGATTTGGCATCTTTTATTTCAAAAGTGTCATTTTGAATAGCTTATTTTTATTGGACATTTTTCTATTTCAAATGGATTTTAAGGGGTGTTTAGAAAAGATAAAGAGAAAAGCAATCAAGGTATAGGAAAAAAGGTTATGTGAGAAAACAATGTAGAATTTTGTTTGAAGGGATTGATTTTTATAGAGTTAAGAGATGTCTTTACTATTTTCACCTACATAAAGGCATCCAAAAATCTTTAAAAAATCATATACTGTACTTGCTAAGGTGATGTTGTAAAAGTCTTGTAGTTTTTTTTTTTTTTAAAGATTTTTATTGGGGAATTGGGGGGATGGGAACAGTGCTGGGGAATTGGGGGAAGGGGAACAGACAAGTTGCTGTCCTTTCGTTCTTCAGTCTAGTTGTGGAGGACGTTGCTTCACTGGCCCAAGTTGGCACCATCATTGCGCTCTTCCCGGGCGAGGCAGATCAGTCGCCGGCTTCTGGACGGCCGCTCACTGCGGCTGCTGGCCGCTCACGCTGGCTGCTGGCTACATACGGTAGCCCATGGCAATCCACTGCCACAGGGGCTGCAGCCTACGCCGTCGCCGGCGACTCACGGCAGCCCACCTCCAGGTTGAGCTGTTGTTCAGCATCTTAGCTGTAGAGGGCGGTGTCACTGGCCCTCATATGTGGGATCCGAACCCGGGCCCTCTGGCATCCCAAGCCAGTTCTTAACCATCGCGCCACTCGGCCGGCCCAAATTCTTGTAGTTTTAAATATTTGTAAATAATGCAGTTTGTTTGGCATTAGTGTTTTGTTTTTCTCTCTAGAATAAGCCCATACCTGATTATTAGAGAGTCTATAAATAGTTACTAGGCAAAAATTATGTGCTGTGTTACATTTAGGAGAATTTCTGATTAACCACATTTCTGGTTGTCTTTTTTTTTTTTTTTTTACTAAGATTTACCATATTTCCCCATGTATAAGATGCCCCCATGTATAAGATGCACCTTAATTTTAGGGCCTGAAATTTGAAAAAATGTAGTACATAAAGTTATTGAACTCAAGTTTTATTCATCATAGAACTCGTACAACTGCTCATCACTTGCGGGAAATGCAAGTAAAAAAACTACAACCACTGTATAAGACGCACCCAGTTTTTAGACCCCAAATTTTTCAAAAAAGGGTGCGTCTTACACATGGGGAAATACGGTCTTTGACAAATGATTATATTCTCAAGTTTTATTAGTGAGTGGTAAAGCTCATAGTACATAATAAGCTGTTGATAATTTAGGTAGAGATTTTTCATTCTTTATAATTTTTACTCCAAGTAAAAAGTTGCTAATTATCAGATGCACATACTAAAATTCTTTACCTTTGTTGATCTTTCAGTTCTCATCTCTTTGTCAGCTGTTAACATAGGCCTTTAAAGGATTATAAGAACAAGCTCATTGCCCTTTCATTTAATGAATTCATAACTGCTGGATTTCCAGAGTGAAGTTGAAGTTCTTAAATTTTTAATTGGGCCATTTTCTGACTTAACTAAGATCATATCATAACACCTTAGTGTGGAAGATTTCGCTTATTAACTCATCATAGCCTTAGTTTATCTACTCTTATGACTGTTTTATTCTGCTTATCATTAAGTGTTAACCTACTCTATTTGAATAGAAACTGTAACTGAAGAGGTAAATCTTAGATTGGGGGCAAGAAGCCCACTTTAGCCAATATTTTTAGATGCTCCTAGTTGGAGAGAAATCTTTCTTGTTAACCAGTGGTTTTCTTTTGTAATGGAATGATCAGTGAGAATGCTGATCATGAATTTGCACACAGTTCGAGTTAAGCTTAATATCTTAGAAGAACCAGTAATGAAATCCTTCATTATCCACTCTTTACTTCAAGCCCTATTTTTAAAGTTCTTGATAAAACAGCCTGTTCCAATTACCATTAATAAATTAATAATTATTATATTTCACAACAGTGCTGGACTTGTATAAAACAATAAAATTATATTTTAATGGAAGATAATTTTTTAGTCTGATATTTGGCTTTGGGGCTATTTCATTAGAAAAGTAATTCATGCTTTTACTTCTTTACTACCTAAATAATTTGGCATTTTACATATATGAGATATACCATATTTTGTGGCATTTAAGGCTAATCTCAGCAGATCTGTCATGTCAAGGTTATTTTAGTTGTTTTCTAACTGATTCTATTTTATCATCTTCTCCTTCTCTACAATCTATCCCTCATACAAATGCTGTATTAATTTTCATATAAGACCACTTTGCAGGGGTGTATGTGTGTATCACCTTCCCATTGCCTGCACATGACTGATTGTATTCCTTGTTCTGCTAAACAGTTAGAGAGGCTTGGGTTGTAATCCCAGCATCACCACTTAGCTAGTATGTAATGAATTAATTGGTTCAGCAGTTCTACATGGAAGACCTATTATTTGCCAGTTCACCATGGTCAGATAAGATCCCAAGCTTACATTGTAGTAGTGTCTTGGTCCTCTTGTCCGTCCCATGAGCACCACCAAGGATTCAGCAATTGCCTCTTAGTATGCTTGTTTTCTCTAAACTATACAGCACACTCCTTGAAAGCAGAAACTAATGTTAGATCTCTGTGTCTACAGTTCTGTGGTATCACATATAAAAGGTTTTTAGTAAATTGTGAGTATACTAGACTAGTCTCAGTTTTTTTCACTGTTAGGTTTATTTGACTTATAAAGTTTTTAACTGGTGTTTTAATTAACAATATCAGATAATACTGGAACACATTTCAGAACATTTAAAAAGATATACAATTGACCCTTGAACAGTGTGGGAGTTAGGGACGCTGACCCACACACAGTCAAAAATCTCCATATGTATCAGAAAAAACCCCCACAAAACTCCATATGACACTTGACTTTCCCAAACTTAAGTTGTCCGTCAGTATCCCAGGGGGATTGGTTCCAGGACACTCCCCTCCCACCCAATGGATGCTCCAAAATCCACGGATGCTCAAGTCCCCTATGTAAAATGGCATAGATCTGTGCATACATTCGGCCCCCAGCATCTGTGAACTCCCAACCGTGGATCAAAAACAGTACAGGTATTTACTGAAAAAAATAATGCTTATTAGTGGATCTGTACAGTTCAAACCTGTGTTTTTTTAGCGTCAAATTTCTTGTAAGTGGGATCTGATCTGATTTCTACCAGCTTTTTTTTTTTCTTAACTCGCAGTTGTTTATATATATAATTTTTTTCTTTCTTTCTTTCTTTTTTTTTTTTAAGGCCTCATTGAATTTGAAGAATGTGACCCTGCTAGTGCAGTTGAAGGTAAGTCGATTAGTTATAATGTGTGGCAACTAGCTAATGTCTTCTGTTTATTGAACAAATAAAGAGGGCCTGCTATCCATTGGTGTCAGCATGTTTATGGAATGATGTAAATATATGAATGTGGTTTGAAGGCCTACAGCTACCAAGTTTTACTTAATAAATAACCAGTAAGTTAGCCCAAAGGGTTATTAGTGTGTTTAAAATACATATTTTAAAAGATTAAATATAATAAGTATTTGTTTTCAAATATACATTGAGATTATTACCTCCATTGACATTCATCTCTAAACATTGTAATGTTATAAATATTAAATGCATCACTGCACATTAATGTATAGTTCTTATTCTATAGTAGGTAACATTTTAGTAATTAATGAGGTTAAGCATTCCTGTTAATATTGCCATCTTTCAAAATGTGTGATGATTTGACTTGGAGAAAAGGTCCACACCCTTTCAATTTAAATTGATGTTTTTTCGTAGTATGAAACCCAAGAAATTCCTGTTATTTTTGTCATGTTTTGTATATCTCACATTAGGAGCTCCTAGAAATAATTTGAAAGAAAGTAAAACTTCTATTTTTTCTAAGACCTGTGTAAAAATTTGGAGAAATGGTTTGCTGTCATGAATAAAGTTATTATTGGAGCAGTCAGGAGCTTTGGGGCCTAGATTTCTTATAGTTATTAGCTGTTTGACCTAGAGCAATAATGATTTAAACTCTGTACTTCAACTTTATTGTAAAATGTAGATAATAAATAATACCTACTCTGCGAGAATAAAAAGGTATTTAATTCTTTAAATATTATAGCATGATATGCAAATGTATGGTTGAGGGAGTTCATTTTGCATGAAAGCAAGCGCATTATCCTAAGACACCTGGATTCTAATCCAGGCTGTAGTGTTTACTAGTTGTAGAACACTGACCTAAAACAAAACCAAAAAATGCCTTTGAGTTTCCTTATCTGTAAGATGAGAAGTTAGCTTAGGTGTGCTCTAGTTCTCAAAGAGCAAGCAGCTAAGCTTTAAGTGCTGAAATCTATCAACAATTAATAGCGTGACTGATCTTTAAAAAATAATATCATGCAAGAAAAGGAGGAAGAACTGCAATATTAGGTAAAACAGGGATGGTATTTGTTCCTCAGTATGGTAGGATCCACTTATATTATTTATATTACAACATATGGACCAAAGAATGCCATATAAGTTTTCATGTTATACTCTTAATGGATATGTTGTATCAGCTTTTTATTTGAAATAACACATTTATATTTTGTGACCCTCTAGACAGGAAACATGATTTACCTTTATAACAAAATTAATATAGTGAATAATGTACTTTCCTTGAAGTTTTAAGATATCTACAAATGCTGATTTTTGCCTGAGGTAACTTGGGGGAGATTTAGGAGAAGAAAAGAGAATTTCATTGATTGAGTGAATGTTTTATTAACTTTTGGTGAACAATAGGCTATATTAGATTAACATAAGAAAAGTCTGAACAGATTATATAACTCTAATTTAAATATTAGGGTCTAGCAATAGATACTTCTATTTCTTTCATCCAAATTTAGTATCAACAGCTATGAGCAAATTGTCGAGATACAAGATATATTCATAAGTTTAATATATTTATCAGGAACAGTTATGTTTCTGTAACAGTATACATTTATTTTAAGGTATAAAACCAAGGAAAAGAAAGACTTTTGGTTTGCCAGGAATAATTAAAAAGGAAAAGGATGCAGAATCTGTGTAAGTATATTAAATATTGTCAATATCCTTTCTGTTGTTATAAATAATTAAGACTTGTTTTGAATTTGAAAAGGAAAAATTATTTCAAAAATAAAAAGTATATATGTTTAAGGTGTAAAAAATACAAACTTTTCTAAATTCATTTGCCAGCTCTTCTGGTTTTAGTTAAAAGCATTAACTTTTCTTATTTTAAAATTTTGATATGAAAGCTTTAGTGTCTTAAAGTTGAAACTTGAAAGATTCTCTCATTTTATAAAATAATACATGCATATTTTGAAAAGTTAAAAGTGCAGATAAAACTGAACATTTTTCTAAGTCTTAATGCCTAAGGGAAAACCTATAGTCAACAATTATATAGTGATATATGTACAGATGCTACTTGACTTATAATGGGGTTATATCCAGATAAACCCATCATAAGATGAAAATAATGTTAAGTTGAAAATACTTTTAATGCACCTAACCTACCAAACATAGCTTAGCCTAGCCTACCTTAAACGTGCTTAGAAAACAATGTGCAAAACACACTGGCAACACAGTACAGACAGTTCCTGACTGATTGATGGTCCAACTTATAATTTTTCAACTTTACAATGATGCAAAAGCGATACACATTCAGTAGAAACCATACTTCTAATTTTGACATTTGATCCTTTCCCAGGCTATTGATACATATAGTATGATAATTTTGTGATGATGGGCAATGGCAGCCCAGCCGCAGCCCCCCAGTTAGCCATGCTATCACAAGGGTAAGCAACCAATACTCTGCAAAGTACTGTGTTGCCAGCGTTTTTTGGATATTGTGTTTTGTGTTTTTTGCATCCCATCATGTCTACAAAATGCTCATCTGTATCTCCTGCTTTTGATAAGAAGAGGAAGGCAATTACTATTCAAGATGAAACTCAAGGTAATTGCCCATCTGTAAGCTAATGTAAGTGTTTTGAGCACGTTTAAGGTAGGCTAGGCTAAACTATGTTTGGTAGGTTAGGTGTATTAAATGCATTTTCGACTTAACAGTATTTTTAATTTACGGTCGGTGTATTGGGACATAACTCCATTATTGTAAATCAAGGAACATCTGCCTGTACACTGTAGAGTATCAGTTGAAGAGTATTTTAAGTCAAACCATTGTAAGTCGGGAACCATCTGTACATGTAAGTGAAAAATATTAAATGTGGGAGAAAAAAAAGCCCTAACATGTTTTCAACATCTATACTAGTCATCACTTTTAGATGGAGAATGGAGTATACATTCTATTTACCTTTTTTAAAAAAAATAAGCAATTAGTATGTAAAGAATATATAATTAGTATAAAAGAAATTCAACTAGTATTAGCTAAGTGAGGTTTTCTACCTTGACTACACATTAGAACTACCTGGGAAGTTGAAATAAATATATATCTATGCCAGGCCCCATCTCACACCAGTTAAACCAAATTCTTGGGTGTGAGGCCCCAGCATAGTTGTTTTGTTTTGTTTTAAGCACCCTAGTGATTCTTAATACACACTTGGGGTTGAGAATCATTGAGCTATAATTAAAAAGACAAACTGGAATTAAAGAAGTTTTTCTTTCTGTAATTACTCAACCCATTTAGACAGACACTAATTGAAAGTCCTGAGTGATTTGTTGACTCAGTATCATTGGCTGAAAATTTGTTTAAAATCCTTACTTCTCTAGTATATTCAGACCTCTCAAGAGATTTGATATTTTGATGGGCATTCATATTTGCAGTACAAGAGAACAGTTTGTGCTGTGAGTGTTCTTGTTTCCTATTTCATTATATTCTTATTACCTGAGGTTCTCAGAATTTCTGCAATTTTAAATGTCTGTTTCTTCAGCCTTCCAAGTGGTATTCGATTAACAAATTAAGACCAAGGGAAGTGATTAATATCGTAGTTATCATCTCTTCTGCAAATGTTCTCTTTGAGCATTTATGAAAGGTATATTTTACTATGGAGTGGAACCTAATCTCTATAACATTGGAAATACATTTTGATGGCTAAATGATTGATTTGTAAGTAAATTTTTAAAATGCAGCCAGTTCATGTTTAGTGAACTGTATTATAAAGAGTAATGGCCATAAATTAAAATATTTTCATAATATATGTTTCTCACAACTGTTCATTCAGGGGGTTTATAATATTTTAGTATATTCTGTGTTTTAAAAATAAATTTTCATGAGTAATTTCCCAATATGTTCATTAGACTACTTGGATATTAGAATGTTTTTTACTGATGAGAATGCTAGGGCAGAAAATTATTCTTAAACCACAGTACCATGATTGCCTTCTTTCTACACTTCCCGGCAAGAAAAATGTTAGAATTCACTTTGCTTGAAATGCCCTAGGTTCTTGGCAAATTTCTTCTTATAACCTGAAGGCTTTTGAAGAGCCAGCAGTTGCGGAAGAGGGGTCCTGCTTAGAGCTTTCTCTTCCTGGGGCTTCATCTACAGGTCTCATACAGCCCACTGTGAAAGCATACAGATGAGTGCTTTACCACAAAAACTGGAGAGTTCTGGCTTAAAGCCAGACAATAAACTGTTTAGAACCTTTATACTTGCTTTTATATTTAAACTGGATCTTCTAAAAAAGGAAGAAAGTAGGACTGTTCTAACATCTTAATTGATTTGATTCTGTAGAGGGATTGAATTTATTATTACAGTGCCTTTTCTGGAACATTTCTTCAGAGTATGCATAGGTTTTCCTTATATACCAATAAGGAAGCTCTTTTTCAAAATTTGTAATTTTAAGTGACTTCTAAGTGGATGTAAAGACATGTGGGGTTTGCATTTAGCCTGTCTCTTTGGTGCTTCTATTTGGATTAAAAGCAGAGTAGTCATCTCCCTCTTTTTTCATTTTTTCAGTCTATTCCATCCTATCTCTCTGTAAGAAAATTCTTCATTTTTAGATTTTTCTGATTTGTGCTTAGTCTTTGGGTAGATAGAAAGAAATTACCTGTTTATATCCTATATATTAATTTAGTGCTTTTTATTATTGTTCATTTGGCTCTTAAGGTGTACCTAATGCCTATGTTTTCAGTCTGTTATTAAAGTGGCACATTTTGATATTATATGCATTATCTGTCTCAAGTCACAGACTATGTAACTAATCCAAGTGCCTTTTAAATATGCACTCTAATTTTTGTTTGTGAATTTGTTTTAGAATGTATACATAGCAATTCTTCTAACATTCCTCCTGGCTTTAGTGTATTTATTTTACATAATTAGGTCTTTCTTTAGTTAATTAAGAAGGTTGGCCTTTATGTTTTAGTTTCACATTTAGTTTATACAATTCATCTTTGTTTTATCAGTTAAATGTTAAAATACCAGTTCTGAACTACATATTACTACATTAAACTAGAAGGCTATTTTGACTTTCATATAGACTAGCTTATCGAAAGTACACTATTTTTTTTTTAATTCTTAAAAATTTTATTTTAAAATGTTATTTACCATAAAAATACAGACTTTTAAGCCAAACTTTTCTCTTTGAAGGAATTTTTTTTTTTAACACTTTCTCTCCCTGAAGAATTAAAAGCCACTAGAAATCCTTGTAGAACTGACAGCCTCCTTGATATGATTCATGTGTATGTTCATGGAAATGAAGTACTTTTGAAAGTAGTTTTAAAAATACTTGTGTTTTATTTTGTCATGCATTATGGGTATAGGAATGCCTTCTTTTGAATTTAAAAACTATTTGGAATATTTTAATCTTCATGATATGATTTCTCTAAATTTTTGTAGAGTTTAAATTTATGCTTAAATACCAAGGTAAACACTTTGAATATAGTATTATTGTCAGATAGTTCTAATAGTTGAATATTTCTAATATTTTGTTTATTTTAATAGGGAATGCCCTGATGCAGATTCACTTGTAAGTACATTTTACTTTGATATAAACAATTTAAATTAGCTGTTTTCATTAGGAAATTCCTAACATATTTGGGTTGTTTACAAACCTCTCCAAAAAAAAAAATACTATTTTATTGTACATTCGCTGTTAAAATTATTTTACAGATGCTTTTTGGCTTTATAGTGTCAGATGCTTTCCTATTAAATAGAAGGTATTTCGAACTATCTTTGAAAAGTGGACATTTGACTTAAAATTGGAGTGGTGCCACAATATATTGCTTTTTCTTGAGAAATATGTCAGGTCTCAAATCTTCATACTTTATTTTAAAATGTGGTGCTCTTACTAATTTATTCTTAGATTATTAAAATAGTACTTTATCTGTTCATGTATTTAAGTTTTATTTAAGAGAGTGTCATCTTAGAAAAAACAACTATGTTAGTACTTTTCTGTGCTTTTTGTTTCATAGAAATTTTTTTATATTTAAAATTATATAATATTTTATATTTAAATATATTTATGGCATAATTAAAAGAAACATCAAATGGAGCTCCCTATGGTTACAGTGGAAGAGTAGATTTACCAAATGGTGTAAGTAGTATGAAGACAGACAAATTTTTCATATTGCTCATTAAACACTGGTCAAGTTGTTAAGTGTAGGTGAGTCAGGCTATCCATCTCTTTGCTCATTATTCTTGCTTGTATACCTATTGCTTCTTTTGGCCCAAAAAGATGTTGATCTTTTACAGCATAATGGCCAAAGAACTAGATATTTTGTGAAACTTTGTGTTTTATATTACTTAAGATAAAACTAGTATTTTTGTTTTATATTTCAGCTTTAAGAAACCTATGATTTTTAAAGTAAATTTGTAGTGAAAATAATGGAATAGATTTCTAATGAGCCCTAGGAATCATCAGAGTATTTTTGGTGTTAGACATTTAACCTTACCACTTGCCAATTTTGATACCCTTGGTTTACTGATTAATGAAAAAGCAGATGTATTTGGCATTTACTTTTGGTATTCATGCATTTTATTTCTGAATTAATTATGTATAACATTTATTTGATAATTGCAACATTGTATAAAGTCATTTAATATTTCATGTTTTATATACTTGCCTAAATAAAACATTTTTAATTCTCTCAGCTCATTTATATAATACTATGATCAATATTAACCAATTCTGAACTTTAGTCAGTACTTATCTGAAATTAGAAAAGGGCCCTTAAAGAAGACAGAAAATTCTTATACCATATAAGAAATGATTGATAAATTTGTGGAGAAACAAAACACTTACAAAATTAGAAAAAATACATCATAGAAGGATTTGACTAACTCAAGGTAAATTGGCAGAGTGTATTTGTAAAACATGTAACAAGGGACAAATTACTTTCCATTATACAAAGCAGTATAAAAGGTAAGCAAGCACCCCGGTAAGAAAGGGCATTAAAATAAAAATAGGCAGTTCTCATAAAAAGAAATAAAAGTGGTGAATACCATAAAAACATGTTCACAATAATAGTCTCATTCTGATGCATATTAGAATGAAATTACCATGTGCACCTGTCATATCGGACAAAGTTTTGATACACTCATACTGTTGGTAAGAATGTAAATTGGTACAATTTGTCTTGTGGATAGTTTGGCAGTATCTCCCCATAAGAAATGCATGTTCTTTTTGACCCTGCAATCCTGCTGCCAGCAGGGTTTACTGTTAAGGCTATCCTTACAAACTTATATGTGATTCATCAAGTATTATGCATGTATAGAGGGGGAGGGAGAGAGAAGTAGAGATAGATGTTTATTTCAACATTGTTTATATTAGGAAAAAACTGGCAAAACTAAAGCATCCACTAAAATGGGATTGGTTCAATAAATTATTAAGCATTGACCTGATGAAAACAGTCAGATGTTATATAGAGTTACATTGCTCTGTGTCTGCTGAGATGGAAAGAACTTACTAAATATGAAAGCAAGTATGATCTAAGTAATTGCTGTTTTAAAAATATAAATGTGTGGGTATGGTTGTGCCCCCGCCCCATCCACGGTTTCGCTTTCTGCAGTTTCAATTACCTGTGTTCAACTCTGGTCAGAAAATAATGGAAAATTCCAGAAATAAACAGTTTATAAGTTTTAAATTGTGTGCCATTCTGAGTAGCATGATGAAATCTCAAGCTGTCCTGTTCCTTCCCACTCAGGATGTGAATCATCCCTTTGTCCAGCATATCCACGCTGTATATGTTGCTCTCCCATTATTCACTTAGTAGCCATTTTGGTTATCAGTGCTTGTGTTCAAGTAACCCTATTTTACTTAAAAATGCCACATTCACATAACTTTTCCTGCTTATGTAATTGTTCTATTTTATTATTACTAATTATTGTTCATCTCTTACTGTGCCTAATTTAGAAATTAAACTTTATCATAGGTATCTATGTATGCATGTATGTATGTATGTATGTATAGGAAAAAAATATGTATATGTGGTGTTTGGTACTATCTGCAATTTCAGGCATCCACTGGGGGCCTTGGAATGTATCTCCCTCGGATAACAGAGGACTACCTGTGTTTGTGTTCTCTTTTTTTAAAAGAATGAGTTACTTACAAGACACTTAATTGTGATTACCTTTGAAGAGAAGGGTTGCAGCATGGTCAACAGGGAAAGGAGGCTTTCATTTTTTGTTGTTTCATTGATGGCTAGTCTCACTAATTACTTTAAAAAACATCAATAGGCTACCTTAGTAGGGAAACTTCATTTTCGGTTTCTTTTTTTAAAAGGTTTATGTAAATTTAAAAAATTATTTTGAAGTATTGCATCTTTTGAAAGTTGACCAAAGAAGTTCTTTTCTTTGGCATGGGAGCTCTATCCATATATATGGAGATATATATAGATATATATAGATATATATCTATATATATGTTTTTTTGTTTTTTAAGATTTTATTGGGGAATTGGGGGAGGGAACAGCATTGGGTAATCGGGGAAGGGGAACAGACAAGTTGCTGTCCTTTTGTTCTTCAGTCTAATTATGGAGGACGTTGCTTCACTGGCCCATGTTGGTATTGTGATCATTGCGCTCCTCCCAGCTGAGTCAGATTGGTCGCTGGCCATTGGACGGCCACTCATGGCGGCTCTTGGCAGCTCACCCTGGCTGCCGGCTGCTCACACTTGCTGCCAGCCACTCACGGCAGCTTACAGCAGCCCACTGCTGCCCATGCTGTCGCTGGCAAATCACGGCAGCCTTGTTGCAGGTCGAGCTGTTGTTCACCATCTTAGCTGTAGAGGGTGCAACGTCACTAGCCCATGTAGGATCCGAACCAGCGGCTCTGCTGCTCAGAGCTCGCACTCCCAAGCCAACTCTCAATCAACAAGCCACTTGGCCGGCCCCCAATATATATTTTTTAAATTGCTACCACTCTCCACCAAAGCTGCCTCTGTTGGTGAAGTTAATTACCCTTTTCTTCTTCATACTGCTTTTGACTTAGTGCTTTATTCCAGCAGTGTGGGCCCTAATATAGAAATTATGGGTTGAATGGACCATAGAAATTATGGGTTGAATGGACCAAGGAGTAAACAGTTAATGTGTTAGTGTTTATTTATAACAAGTTCCTATGAATAGTTCTAGCATTAAAAACCTAGTACACTGAGAGTCATTGCTTGTCATTAATAAACACATTAACTGTTTACCCTTCCCTAACTGCACACTTTCTTGTGCTTTTATTTCTTTACTTTGAAAATATGGATGAAAGTTTGGTTATCCACAGAACTGCTGACATTCCTACTGGAACACCTGTTCTCTTCCTTTCAGTGTTCTCTTGTTTCATTTTGTAGTTCTTTTCTATTTCAGACATCTGAAACATAGTGTGTGATTTGAAGCGAATTAACTAAAAGATGTGATTTCCCCACAGTATTATAATTTCATTAACCTGTCGATAGTTGATAAATGATACAGCCCTCAGTAATAGTCCAGACTATTTTGTTAATCTCTAATATTTTTGTAGTTGGAGCCATCATTACAGTAAAGTTTTTTTCTTCTTCCCATAGAACATTCCTGATGTAGATGAAGAAGGCTATAGTATAAAACCAGAAGCAAATCAGAATGATATCCTTTTATCATCTGGATATTCCAATGGATTGTGTTGGCATATAAGTAGACAGTTAAAACACAGTAACCTATTTAATAAAGTCTTCAAATTTTTAATTAATTATAATAAAATACGACTCCATATTCTTCATTTGACATGATTTTGTTAATAAAAGTATTGGGTTGTTGGAAAAGTCATGATGCATTTTTGCAACAAAAAACATAGAAAAAATGTGTCATGACTTTTCCAACAATCCAATAGTTATATTTCTGTTAAAGTCCATCTTATCTCTCAAAGGTTTTTGTTCTATTTTATAAATGTGTAAAAAACTTGTTATGCATTCTAATATTTTAAAAACTAAATTTTTTAACTGATACTCACATGCCAAAGAGAACCATTTCTACTCATCTAGTGATTCTGATTCTGAAGATGAAGAACCAAAGAAGTATCGGATAGAAATCAAACCTATGCATCCAAATAACTCACATCACACAATGGCTTCCTTGGATGAATTAAAAGTCTCTATAGGAAATATAACACTGTCCCCAGCAATATCTGTAAGTAATGAAATGAGCAAGTTTGTACTCCTTATGTTAGATGTCTTTATTTTTTTTTAATACCTCATCTACCTGCCTCTGGCTAATTTAGAGAATAATAAAAATTAAAACATTACTTAGCAGCAGTTAAGCATGTTGGATGAGGAAATAAATTTAACATAATTCTTTTTATTCAGCTTTATTGAGGTATATAGTTTATAATTTTTATATAGGCATATGAACTTGTGAGTGTGGCTTAGTTTTCCTTTCTTTTCAAAGTTATTTTACAAAGGAAGCAAAAATGTAGAAAATTCACTATTTTTGCCAGCTGTGTTTTTATAAATAGTGCTGTATGTCTCAGGCAGAATTTGGTGAACTGGCAATATTAATTTTTTCCTCACCTTATTTTAAAGTTCTTGTCCATGTTTTGTGAACTATATATAAAAAGGATTTTCTTAAAAATGAATTTAAAGATTAAATTATATCTTTGCATTTTTTTGTCACTATAACGTTTGTTTTTCCATACTTTTCATAGAAAGAAAGGCAAAGATAAGAATTCTTAGTGATAGTGATTAATTCCTTAGGTCTAAAATACCATACTTAACAGCTTTTGAGGGAGGAAAAAAAAATCATAATACATCTTTCCATTGATGTCATACTCTAAATTCAGGAGTGTTAAACTATGGGGAAAAAAGGCATGTCTTAGAATGACATTTAGTTATTTGTATCATCATAATTGGTACTTAAATTGTTCTCTTTGATAATGGAGAAGGGAAGTGCTCACCATTTCTTATTATTACTTAATTATGTATTTTAAGTAGTCTGTATGTATTTATTTGGGTAAAAGTTTTTTTTTATCCCAGTCATGCACTTTTAGAATTTAATTTTTGAACTACTTTTCCACAATGAAGACAGATTTCTGAATTTGAGGTTTTATTCTACCATTACTCGTTAACATTAAGACTAATGCAAAAGATTAAATTATGGTATATATATGAAGTAGAAAGTTGTGAAGCCATGAAAAATTTTTTTGTCTAGGAGCATAACTAATTTAAAATAGTATATATGTAAATAAATAAAAGCCTAGAGGAATATACAGCAAAAAGTTAAGCATTTATCTCTGGGGCGTGAGGTAATTAATAGTTTTAAGTTTTCTTTTTTGGGTTCTTTTCTGTTTGTTAAAAAACAGTGGATATGTATTAATTTCATGCTCAGAAAATAAATAATCATAAAATTTTTAATTAATATTGGGTGTAAAAAGAGGATAGTGTGAATATATTTTGTTGCCCAGTTTGCTTATCTAGCTTAAGTATTTTCCCCCCAACAATGTGTGTATTTTGTGTATAGATTTTAGGTACGATTCGGATTGGAATAAACAAATTATTAGAGCTGGAAAATATATTTTAAATTCTAAAATGAACACTTATCTTTTTTTCCTTTCATGTACTACTAGAGACACAGCCCAGTAAGTGCAAGATTTTATATTTTTACCTATGAGTTAAAAAAAAGTCATTGTAATGTTTGAACATTGATTTTCAAAATATTTGTGTTAAATTTTTTGTATTATCAAGTCATAGTAAGTTGCTTTAGATATTAATATTTAAAAACATTTTATTGAATATAATGTTAAAGGTACTACATGTATTATAATTCTTTACTATAAAACAAAAAGTACTGAAAGGTTTTTTTTCTGTATATCTTTTTATGTAAATAGTTTACAATTGAGCGGATACACTAAAAGCAGCATTAAAACCTGCTTTAACGTAATTAAAATTAGGTTCCCAGTATTAACATTTTACTAAATATTTCATTACCAAATTAAATTATAATTTAATGGCACTTAGTGTTTGCATTTCTGTTTTAGGTGCAGCTGAATCAGAATTCATCTAGTAAGTTTGACATTTAAGTTTGTTGTTTTATGTCTATTAAAATGTATCAGGCAATTTGCTAAGCTTATGTATGTAGTTACAGAAATAATAGTCTTTTCTCATCATGAGCCTTAACGACAGACTTAAAAGGATACTGTGGAACAGAAGACAAGTTATTTATATTATTTCTTTTAACATTGAGATATGACTTAAACTTTAATACATGGCTACAACATTTTTCAGAAATCAACATAGCCAAAGAGTAGCTTCTGATTAAAAATGTTAAGCTGTTTGTCTCTACCTCATGAGCCAGAAGGTGTTTATAAGTTGAGTTAGCTTTTGCTTTACCTATTTTTAAGTCATATCACAATTGCAATTTCTATTAAATGGTTTTTAGGATAGCAATTTAATTATATTAAAAATATTTTTGGGGTATTAACACCTCATGCAGAATCATGCATTTAAATAACAAAGGTTGTGGGGGAAAGAGTTGAGGCAGTCTATGGAAAAGCTATGCAATTTTGTAATCACAGTGCTTAATAAAAACTTCAACATCAGGGGCCGGCTGAGTGGCTCAGTTGGTTAAGAGCTCGCTCAAGAGTTGGAGCTCTGAGCAACAGCGGTTTGAGTCCCGGCCCGAGCTGAGCAGCCTCTGAGCTGCCAACAGGTGGCGGGATGGCTCAGCTAAAAAAAAAAAAAAGCAAGCAGTGGATTTATTTTGGGCCGGCCGAGTGGCGTGATGGTTAAGAACTCGCTTGGGATGCCTGAGGGCCCGGTTCGGATCCCACATATGAGGGCCAGTGACGCTGCCCTCTACAGCTAACATGCTGAACAACAGCTCAACCTGGAGGTGGGCTGCCGTGAGTCGCCGGCGACAGTGTAGGCTGCAACCCCTGTGGCAGTAGGTTGCCATGGGCTACCGTGTGTAGCCAGCAGCCAGCGTGAGCGGCCAGCAGCCGCAGTGAGCGGCCGTCCAGA